AAACATTAATCAGAGTGAAGTCTTCCACGGGATCTTTTCCCCAAGCTGCACTAAAATCCCAGAAGCTACCAAGGCTTAGGGCCTGGAGTTTGGGGGTCTAGGCTTTTGGGTCTGTAGGCTTCGGTAGGACGACTGAACCGTAACCAGCAACCCTTCTGAACAAGAAGCCAGGCCACCCTAAACCCTAAGCTCTTAAGGCTCATTCACGCCTCGACCCCTAAACCTTTAACACCCCGAATAAGTTTTATAAAGCCTTAAACCCCTGAACCCTAAACATGAATTCCCTGGAGCTTGCTCCTAGCTGTGACAGCATGAGCTGGAAGTTGTGGCCAGGAGTTTCATCTCCATTCCAAACTTAAATTACTTCAAACACCCTACATGAAATAGGCAATTTCCATGTGTCAGGGATCTGGGGAAGTGGGTTATGATCTTCCATTCGGAGCAAGGAGCCAGGATCCCTTTAAGTAAGCTGTACCTGGATCTTGTACTGATATGACCGACCAGAGGTTCCTTCTAGCAATGTCTGTCGGTCCTATGTGGTTCTAATGTTAGCTAGCAGTGGGATTCTTATTAAATTATTCATGACCCCGATTTATCAACTCTTTTGATGCCACGACCCCTTGCAGCAGCTGCTGCCAATCGTGCAGGCCCCCAGCGCTGCGCAGTGCAATCTCAGAAGACCTGGACACCCAGCTGAACGACTTGGTGTGCAAGCGTGACGAGCTGCAGAATGCTTTGGATGATCAGGGAGGCCGGTGCATGATGGGGGTGAATTCGACTTTCTTCTTTTAGTTCTATCGGTCTATAATCTATATATATCTCATACACTACTCTTGCCGCTTATCATAGTTTATATTACATTACTAATCATCCACTTCTACTATAATATATATGTAACATTATTGCTGCTGCTGCTGATGCTGGTAATGCCAGACACCTTGCTGCACTATACTACACGAACACTCTAGTCCTAATGCTGTTGTTGCTGCTGCTAGTGCAACAATTCTCTGCACTGATACTACTATTACTCCAGGTCCTGCTACGAGGACCAAGGCCAATGTTTCCAGTACTGTGGTTTCTCCTACACATGTGCTGAACCATATAATATGCAATATAAGACCATCTGCCACTACCAGTAACAGAAGGGCTGCTTCTAGTGATGCCCGCTGGCACTACTTGACTACCACTCTGTAATTATTCTAACCATATGGTATGTAGCCCAGCTATATATGATTTATTTACATACAACAACTACCATGTGCTAGTACTAGTGCTACTGCTACTGCTGCTCCTCTCACTATGGCTGCTACTTGTACTGCCACGCCTCCTACTCCTGCTCCTCCTACTACTAGTACTAGTGGTCGCAATCTTCCCAGGTGTTCTTGATAACCATTCAGCCCATGTTGCTGCCGAATGCATGCCGAAGTCCAAAACTCTAAACACAAACCCTAAACCCTAAACCCTAAACACAACCCCTATGCCTATAACCCCTTCGAAGCCTCGCCCTCGGTGTCGATCCGATAGTTGAGGGTGATGGTGTCCTCGCAAGCACATACCCCTAGCCCTCCAGGTACCTACTATATAGGGCCCTCGGGGCTCTTGTACCCTGTATGCTAAGTACCTGGTGGGTCAGGGTACAGTTCTGATTTCTATGGTTCAGTCACAGCTAATGTGGCTGCTGCCACTACGTCACTACGACCGACGAGGACGAGAAGCATTACTACTACTAATACTGCTTAATGGTAGTACTACTACGACGACTACTACTACTACTCCTACAACTACTATTGCTACTACTACTACTACTACTACTGCTACTACTGCTACTACTGCTACTACTGCTACTACTACTACTACTACTACTACTACTACTAGTACTTCTACCACTACTAGTACTATTAATGGTAGTCGTAGTAGTAGTAGTAGCTAGTACTACTACTACTACTACTACTACTACGACTACTACTACTACTACTACTACTACTAGTACTACTAGTGCTACTACTACTACTACTAGTAATAGTACTAGTACTAGTACTAGTACTAGTACTAGTACTACTACTACTACTACGACTACTATTACTATGCAACTCTTACTACGACGACTACTGCTACTACTACTACTACTACTACTACGACTACTACTACTACTACTACTACTACTACTACCACTAGTACTACTAATAAAAATACCACCATTAGGACTATTACTACTACTGCTACTACTACTACTACCACCACTACTACTACTACTACTACCACCACCACTACTACTACTACCTACTACGACGACTATTACTATGCAACTATTACTACGACGACTACTGCTGCTACTACTAGAACTACTACTACTGCTGCTGCTGCTGCTGCTACTACTACTACTACTACTACTACTTGGGCTACTGCTACTGCTATCAGTACTACTAGTACTAGTACTGCTGCTGCGACTACAATTACTTGAACTAGTAGTAGTACTGACCCCAGGAAAGTGATGAGCGGGACACTTCCGACGAATGCAGCTGCTCCCTGGGCAAGACCGTGGTCGTCGTCATACCAGTGACTTGATTACTACACGACGGCAACTAATTTGATATTGTCTTGAATGTTTGAAGAGTGGGAGTACCATTGGTAGCAGTGGTATATATTTTACTAGTATTAGTACAAGTACATTAAATCAAGATTTTCGGAGCCGTCGTCACGAAGTAGAAGTAGTAGCAGCAGCAGCAAGAGCAGCGGGAGTAGTAGTAGCGGGAGTAGTAGTAGTAGTAGTAGTAGTAGTAGAAGTAGTAGTAGTAGTAGTAGTAGTAGTACTAGTAGTAGTAGTAGTAGGAGGATCTTCAGAGGAGCATGAATAGGATTGCAAGAAGTAGCAGCAGCACTAGCATCAGCAGCAGCAGCAGCAGCATCGATTCGACGAAGTAATCCTGGCAACAACACTAACCACTAGCGAACTTGAGTCGTGACTTGCAGTCTAGGGTGCCGAGACCACCAAAGTATCACCCCTGGGAAATGCTAGCATCCAGCATCCTTCGTGCCTCACCGAAGAGAACAATTCTTGCCGAGCTGCCGCGTGAGCTCGTCACAGCCCGGCCTGGAAAGATGTGCTTCAAATCGGGATTGGACCCGAAATCCGAATATCATACCTGGCTCTGGCAATCTTGTACTTGCGACTTAGAAGAAAATGGTCGGAACAGAGATGAACCAAAAGAATGGCCTGCCACTGCCACTGCTCCAGAGTTGCAGGTGTCCACCCGGCCACACAGTGGGCGAGGTACCACCTGAGAGTAGAAAATCCGATAGATTGCCGTGAGAAGTGCATCATTTCAGAACAAGGTTCCTGAGAAACCGGCGACTTCAGAACTCCACCTCGCTTCTGCCAGCTGATATGAACTCCGTGTGCCCCATTGGCCTGGGTCCAGGATAATGGTGCTTTCCTTGTTTATTGACCAGAAAACGGGCTATGTTTCTCAGACGAGCCACTTTCAAATCCAACTGCAAGAGTTCATTCACAGCCTGGACGGTCTCGGGCTTGGTCGGGCAAACATAGAATGCTCCAGCAGTCAACCTTTGTTGCAGAAGCAGTTTTAATCGACAGTCGCTCGGCTTATCATGTGCAGCTGTCTAAGATTCAGGCAACACCTGCACACTCGGAAGCTTCGTTGACTTGTCCATCTTGTCCTTCAAGAACTGTGGGCATTGTGTCACAAAGCACCTGAATGAATCCAATCTGAAAGCAACAAGATTTTGGGAATCATATCCAGCTCACTTATCAATGTCCTGTGCACTCACTGAATCTGAGGAAATAGCTTGCTGGTGCTGAGATTCTCTGGCAGAACGATCTGCAAGACGGCCGCCGAGTTGAAGGCGAGACGGCGAATCATGTTGCGGTTGGCCTGCATTGTTCTTGCTATGGGAATTTCGATGTACATGTAGGACTCTTTGTCAAAACCGTGTCGACATGTGTATGTGTGTATATATGCATGCATGCATGCATGCATGCATGCAAGTTTATTCATGGATCTATTGCATGTACATATCATATATATATAATGTAGACCATTCATAAGTAGCGAAAACTCAGACCATGTCTGTATCCATGCCACTCCCGGCACACGGTGTTCACAAAAGCACATGTTGTAATTAACGTTGCACATGTTGTATATAATATCTATACATGCCACTCTTTAACAACATACATCGCATAGCATGTTGTTATGGGTGTAAATGTCAAGAAGGTAGCCATATTGCTTCCCTCATCCATGTTAAATGTCGACCAAGGTTTGTTTGAGATTGCATAGCTAAATTTTGTACGATGCACGTTGTGTGTGCATGTGTGCATGTGAGCTCTGAAACCAACTTACAGCAGTACTAGCAAGGGACACTGCAAGGCCAGCATCAGCATGCCCCAACATGCGATAAATCAGCAACGGCAACTGAACATCATGATCGGATCCAGGCCTCCATGTCCGTGCAAAGGGCCTGCTTGTTTCGTTCCTTAGCCGCCGGCTTCTTGCAAGGTTTCTTCGGGCTTCTCTGATCCTTGTCGCCATACGACAGCTTTCGCCGAACACCGCCTTCGGGCGTAGAGCTCTCGGGTTTTTCCCCTGCATCTGCCGATGGCTCGGCTTTTGCCTTTCCCTTCGCTTTTGCCTTCGCTTTGGTCTTTGCTTTCGGCTTTTTGCCGCGTGCAGCTTTGGCCGCATCTTGCTCGTCTTGGCTCTCGAGAGCTTGTCGGTCTGGATCCTCAGCTTCCTTACCTTTCTTCTTGCTCGCCATTTTCTGCTGGACCTGCCATGCCCAAAACAGAATTGTTCTAGTCATGATTGCTCTGCCTTCCATGATTGACCAAGCTGCCACCAGAAGATCTGCATCTTCCAGCTCCCTTGTGCGTTTTCTCTTTGGTGCAGCCTTGGCTGCCAGCTCTGCTGGCACTTTGGGAAGCTTGCCGATCGGCCTTCGGTCCTGACGACATAGGAACCCTGACTCTCAGAGATATACAGCTAGGACTGTCCAGGTACGGAACAACCCGGAACAACCTTCCCTGATCAAGATGTTTGTAGATCCCAAAACAGACTGACCCAATCTCCTTCATCGCACCTCCTTCTTTCTCCTTCCGGATCTTTTCGTCTCCTACATATTCATCGTCTTCAGCCTCGTGCTCCGTCTCCTCATCCGGATAAACTATCGGGTCGGTTTCCTTCTCTTCCTCTTCCGCTCCTTCCTTCTGCTTGCTCTCCTCATCATCCATTGTCCCACGGTTGCAGAAAGGCTCGTCCCCATGGTGCGGAAGCACCTCTTCGTCGTCCGTTTTTTTTTCCTCCTCCCCACCCTCATGCTCTGAAGGCGGGGGGTCGCCTTCAATTTGGGTTTCCATCTCATCGGGATTCTTGGTGGCGACCTTCCGGAGCTCACAGCATGCATGTATGCACTATTATTCTATCATGTATAGTATATATAATATATCAGATCAGATCATGCGTGCTGCACATGACACATGTAAGTAATATGATAGAATGCGAGATTTCATTTTAGAGTCATCTTATACAAGGAATTATGTGTTACATATAATACCTATGACATGAAATATGAGGACGGACGTATAGATCTTGATCATATACTCTGTCTCTCTGATGCATAGGATGTATAATACTTGCGTGTGTGGGGTGTGGATATGCATGTATACCGGGAAACTCCATCCATGATACACGTGCGTGTCTCACCGTGTGACATGCATGGCGTACATACCAAATCTTAACATTGCGAAGCAAATCAGGAATATTAGCATTTATCTATATACCCTTGACACCGGGACAGGATGGATCCAGAATCTCGGCTGCCTTCTTGGAAGAGCTCGTCTTTTTCTTCAGTCTTTGGCCGTTCTCGTCGATGAGGCCGGCCTCCTATCGTCGGCATTGGTAGGATCCTAGGAGTGAAAGCTATAATTCAACTGTACTATATTGAAAAGACCTCCTATCTAAGTAGAGTGCTTAGTGTCGGCACCCACACAGAAAAGTAACTGAAGAAAAAAACCCTAAGCTATATACCCTAACCAAGCTAGGAAGCCAGTAAACCCGCTCATGTCATCTGGGTTCTTGGTGCTGAGGATTGTGCTCAACGTCATATTCCTGTTGAACAATAAACTTAGTTTATCTAAATTCTTATTGTCTCGGCCGATGTTTATTATGATACTAACAACACTAACTTATATTGTACTTAGAGCAGTCTTAGAATGATTAGTAATCGTGCAGATTGTTGGAAAGCCTCCAGCATCGATTGCACCACCTCCTTGAGGGTCTGCATCCTTGCGTGGCCAGACCTGACAGATTAAGATAAATTCCCCTGCCTAGATGGCCTAGATAGAAACAGCATCTCAAATACGGAATCGGTTCGCCTGCATTGATCTGTTCGCCCGAACCGCATCAGAACGTAGGTGGCAAGGCTTCTCTGTAGCCCGGCTTCGACTCGCGCCCAAGCCTTGCGGTCTAGTTGTTCATATGATCATTATTTAAAATGCCCATCCGTGCGATGATCCCACTCNNGCGGGGCCTCTGGAACTTGTTCAGCTTGAATCTCTCCGAGGCCCAAGCCAGCACCAGCTGGCAAAATGAGGTGATTTGGTAACTCGGCATGACGATAACCCCAGTACTATAGTAGTTCATTAGCTAGGGCGGGAACTCCCAAGCAATAGAAGCCAGCAGAACCATCATCTCCCCCTGAGTGGGCATGTTGGCTGCGAAGCAGGCCAGAAACCCAAGGAGGAAGTCGAAGTTCACGTCGTTCTCCACCTGGGCCCCATGGGACATATAGCCTGGATGATATCATAAAACTCCTTGCTGTCACGAGGCTTCGTACTCCCCAACTTTGTGCTTCGGCAGGTAGACACAGGAATATTTGGGAACCTGGGCGAAAGAATAATCATGCTAGGAACTGTCGACTCGATTGATTATTTAGGCAGCTAGGCAACACGAGTATCATCTTTATTCATGTTCAGCTGCTTGCGGATCTCCTTTTTCCTGGTCTGGATCTGATCCTCGAGTTGGAACATCTCAGTGTAGTAAGCCTGGATCGACTATATTCCAAAGATCATGGACATCGACTGGCTTGAGCAATTACTTGATCAATTAATTAATTGATGTGGCACCTGTAGCAGGCGGAGGCGATCGTGATCCACCCGGTTTTTCCGGATTCCGGCATCTGCAAAGTTCCACTTGGGAGGAATATCCATGGCCGGGGAAGAGAAAAAAAGCTGGCTCAGCCCTGCTAGCTTGCTTGCTTGGTGCCGGATGTCCGGCACGAATCGAATGAGGATTGCTTTCTAGATCTCCTAAGATCGGCTGACGTCTCTTGTGATCACGAAACACCCTGACCTTTGGAAAAATCGCTTGTAGCACGGAAGTTTTCAACAATCATGCATGTTCCGATTGGAGCGACAAGCACAATGCAGAGCACAGTCGGGTGGGAGCACCGGTTGTTGGGATGTCAAAGTCCTCCTCCTGTGCGTCCGACATGAAGCCCATGCAAGCTTGGGATTGGCAACTTAATCTCTAGAAGCCGATCCAAAAACCGAAGCGGAAGTTTAAAGAGGTCTTGCTGATTATTCCGAGAGTAAGAAAGTCTCAGGTGCCAGCTCAAATCCAGAGATCGCTTCATAATCAGAAGCCAGCATAGATCCAACAGGACCTCGTATGTATCATGGGTCATTGTTCTAGGTCGAGAAGTACCGTGTTGAGCAACCAGATCACATCTCAGGGCAAGGCAAAGAGCTTGAGGAATGCGATGCAGTCGCACGACATGAGCAGGAATTGACACTAAGTCATCCTAAAATGGTATTATGGAACATCCTGCACCCCCGATTGTAAAATTGAGACTTTATATAGCTTACTGAAACCGCTCGATCTGAATGATGGGAATCTCGGTGTGAAAAGTCACAAGTCATGAATTTCATGAAGCAGACAGTGTTGGGAGCCATCTAGCCAAATCCCGGTCTTTCCTCGCCATATATGCGCGCTTTCCAAAGACACGGCTTTTACACGTCCTAGACGCCGAGGGTAAAGGAAACCCTGCACCTCAAGGCTTTTTCCGGGCATCTTCGGGACGCCTGACACCCCGCAGCTTCAGAGCGCGAGGGGACCGTATGCAGACCTCAAGCAACCGGATCCTTATTGCGACAACTATATACTAAGAAGATTGAATATATATATATATATACATATATATATATAATATGCATATAGATAGATTGATTGATTGATAGATTGATAGATAGATAGATACATAGATAGATAGATATAAAGATATAGATATAGAATTTCAATTTCTTTGTTAATTGGTATTCTTATGTTAAATACCAAGAAACACAATATGATATATGACGGAAACACCCAAACCCAAGTTCGAAAAGAGGCCCAGAACTTCTTCAACGAAGGGTGCAGGGCTTAAGGCTCTGGTGCTCTTAGGGCCTAGGGCTTCATTTGTAAACCCTAAACCCCAAACCCTAGAAGCCCCCTAAACCCTAAACCCCAAACCCTAAAAGCCCCCAAAACTTTAAAGGCTTCGAGGTTTAGGGTCTGGGGGACCCCCCAGTCAAGGAGCCGCCATTGCAAAGCCGCCGTCGAGATGCCAGGTGTAGAAAGCATGGAAATGTCGGAAATCTTGGCTCCAAGCCTTTACCTCAAGGGATTTTGGGGTTTAGGGGTGAGGGGTTTAGGGTTTCGGGTTTAGCGGACTTGGGTTTAGAAGCTCCAAGCCTTTTTCTGTCTATGGGGCTTCAATACATCTAGGGTTCAAGCGCTGTTGAGGTTTCAGGCTTTGAAGTTCTTGATATGTAGGGCTGTTTTTGGTGTTTCTGCGCATCGGGTCCTTCAGGGCACCGAGGGAATCTAGGGTTTGGGGGGGCTGAAGCCGGCTGGGGCAGCACTGCCGTAAGTAGAAAGGACCCCTTCGTACAGGTGACCATGGCCCTGTGCCGGAGCCTAGGCATCTCGGCTTTCGTGTTGGGTTGTAGTTTAGGGTTTACATGTACAAAACCTGAGGATGCAGGTCTCGAGCTCGAGGACATGCGTGCGCACTGGCTCCCACTTCGCATAAAGGTGTGGCAACAGCGGAAGCACTCACAAAAAACGGAGCAAGAGCCAGCTGCCTGATGGAATCCAAGCGGCATGCGGGCAGACCTCAGCTGCGCTCGAGCCGTGGGTCAAAGTTGATGCTATGATACTGGTCACCATCGCAGATACCCATATGCAACCAGAAGCACCATCAACTCGAGTCGAAAGCGCTCTAAGTCCTTCCCTGCTTCTCCCACAGTGGCACGACACCTTCACCTACACAATTGGGGTGTAGGGTTTGGGACTGAGGGTTTCGAATCCGGGTTCAGGGTTGACTGTTCACATTTCTGTTTTCCAGGATTCCATGCACGGTATCTGAGCCTGCAGATGAAAAGCCGCACCACTCAGCTGGATGCCTTCAATGCATATCGGCGACAACCTCACTTTACCTTTCCCGACTTAGCTTACCAAAAAACCTATGTACGTACTGAACAATAGTTCTGAATCTTCGAAACCCCTAACCCCTGAATGCAACCTACACCCCTACAGACACCTGAACAAACGTCAAACCATAAACCCAAAACCCAAACCCCCAAACCGCTAAACCCCAAATCCTGAAGTCCTAAAGTCCTCAACTCTCAATCCCGAAACCCTAAACCCTAAACCTCAAACTCCAAAAGCCCTAAACCCTAAACCCTGCATCCGAAAGCCCTAAACGCCCTCAATCCCACGAACCTCTGCCTCCACCAGGGTGGTCTTGGACCCTAAACCCTAAACCCCTTGAACCCAAGCGGCCACCAGGGTGGTCTTGGACCCTAAAACCCTACTGTAAACCCTAAACCCTAAACTCCTAAACCCTAAACCCTTGAACCCCAGCGGCCACCAGGGTGGTCTTGGAGTTGCTGGAGCCCGGTCGCCAGAGCTCCTCTGCCTCCTGCAGTGGGAAACTATAGTAGACTACGGAACTCTCTAGAAAATATCTAGAAATACAAATATATGTACATATATATATATACACACATTATATACATATACATATACATATACACACACATACCTACACATATACATATACATATATCAGGAATCTACACTCAACCCCAGGGCTGCACTCATAAATCCTGTCTGCTGAAGCCCTAAGTTGGATCATGTAGATGCCTGGGTAATCACGGAATTCTTTCGGGGGCCTTATATGCTATCACAGACCTGACATAACAAACCCCCGAAAAAACATCATCTAGTTATTTCGTCCCAAAAAGGACCCTAATTTAGAGAACTACTCGTGAAGCCTTTTAGAAACCCTAATTTCATAACACTATCGACCCCATTAACGAAACCCTGACAGATCCCTTTCAGGAACCCGAGTAGATCCTTTTAAATGAAGCCTTATAGACGATCCCTTGAACGCAACCCAAAAAGATCACCTTTTCAAAAACCGTAATAGGTCCCTGCAAGAAACCCTGATAGAACCCTAAAGTAGATCCCTTTAACGCAACCCCAAAAAAGATCCCTGCAGGGTACCATACTAGGGAAACCTTGTAGATAACTTGAAGGAGCCCGAATCTTGACCCCGGCGGCCTCAGCCAAATCGGCCAGAACCTCGTTCGCCGTTCTGGACATGCTGGTGACCACTCCTGAGATATGCCAGGCCCGAAGTGGGTATCGGTGGAGCTTTTTCAAAAAGAAGGGAGGTAGCTTTTAAATTTTTGTGCCAGCGTCTGCCAGCACTAGCTGGCTGAAAGGTTAGAGGTGCAGGATCTAGGGCTTATAGGGCTTGGGGCTTAGGGTTTAGGTCCGGGCTTTGGGTCCGAGCGCTTCTTTAGGCAATCCAGCAGTAGGATACATGTTTTTGAATCACCCGAGAACGATCCGATACATGAGCATCTAATGGAAAGGCCCAGAGGAAGAGTCAGCCATGAAAGTGCGGAGACAGCTAGGCTAGGCACTGCAGGCCAGGCTCGTATGTCAGCAGGGGATGCCCAAGGGCAGAAGCCCAAACCGATCACCACTTCCTTCAGCCACTGTCTCACAGCCCGGGAGTGCTGTGTCTCTTGCATCTGCACCGAAGAGCAGGGGACTTTGGCAGCTCGACCATCTCGCTGTCGCAGCAGGCAGCAGGCAAAGGCCACCGAGGCCGGGACCACCTTTGCTAGAAAGGGTGTTGGCGCGGGCCTTCTTGGTGGCTTGGAGAGCCTCGCGCCAGCAGCCAGGAAGGGGCTGGGGCCGGCACTGGTGGCATAGCTCACTTGCAGCATGACGCCTCTGACGAACCGGATTTTAGAAGCCTTTTTAGAAGCCTGAATTTCAAGATCGCTGTTAGAACCCAATGTGCTCCTGCTCTTACCTGCGATCCACACCGGCCGGCAGATGCTCTCAGACAGGCACAGGCACATCCCAAAGGGTACGTAGTCTTGGGGAGACTTTTCCAAATCATTGGTCCTAATGTCGAGAGCCTAAATTCTGCCATCTATCTATCTCTCTATGTGTATGTATATATATATATATGCCCTATAGGTACTTTGTGACCCTTGGGGCATGTAACCGTAACCCCACACCCAACCTAGCCGAAATCCATGGCCACGAACCCCGAAACCCGAGCTTTGGCCTCAGACATCCCCAAACTCCGCATACAAGCCCTCATTATGGTTGATGATCTAAATCCTGCATTACCCATAATGAAGAATATCCCATAGTTCCCATAGTTGAGGGTCCTTAAGGTGATGCAGGATTTATATCACCAACATTACTGCAGAACTCTGCAACTCAGGACCGGCTTCCGGCTTCCTCCGACTTAACTATAGCTCTAACCGATATTAGGGGACTTATAACCCTACTTATAACACATATTAGGGGACTTATAGCCCTACTTATGACCCATATTAGGGGACTTATAGCCCTACTTATAACTTATATTACGGGACTTATCACCCTACTTATAACTTATAGCTACCCATGAACCTCCAAGTACTGTAGGATTTAAGGCTTCGACTCTCCCTGGGTTTAGGGTTTGGGGGGGTTTTGACTCTCACACACCCATGAACCTCCAAGTATGATCCCTTTTGCCCCATTATAGGACCCCTTATAGAGCCCTTATAGATCCCTTAAGGGAGCCCCTTATAGAGCCCTTATAGATCCCTTAAAGGAGCCTTATAACTCCCCATGAACCTCCAAGCATGACCCCCCCTTATACCCCATTATAGGACCCCTTATAGAGCCCTTCTAGATCCCTTGTGGAGCCCTTAGAGATCCCTTAAAGGAGCCTTATAGCTCCCCATGAACCTCCAGGTAGCCTCCAGGACTCCTAGGCCACACATCGTGGGCCTCGGAGAAGTCGACCTCTTCGCCTCGACTTGGTGGAAGAGCTCGGAGGGTTTGAGGATTTAGGGTTTAGGGTTTTTAGGGGTTTAGGGGTTTAGGGGTTAGGGATTATAGGGGTTAGGGTTTGGGGGTTAGGGCTTATAGGGGTTAGGGTTTGGGGGTTTAGGGTTTATGGGGTTTAGGGTTTAGGGGTTTAGGGGTTTGGGATTATAGGGGTTGAAAGTAACGTAACTGCTCAAGCGGGAGGTCCAGTGCCGCAGGTCGAGGCTACGAGTAAAGGCAGGGCAAAGCGCTGCTGAGGCCTCTATTTTCGCCCTGGGCAAGACACACTGCAGAATCTGCTCACTAGTGAGTGCGATGAATGCATGACAAGTCCTTAGAACTTGCATGCCACCCCGTCCCCAAGCAATTTCCGGAACTACTTCTCGGCACTGTTAGTACTTCCTGAGTTTTCCAACGGAGAGACTCCCTTGGACTTTCTTTTCCTCGCTGATTGCATTTCTGGGTCTTCCACGATTCGCCAGCAATGGTGCATACGGTAAAACAGCTCCAGTTCACGATTGGTGCCTCCTTTTGTAAGCGCATTAGCCAGCTGAGCTTCAGAATGCACCCACCTCACCTGGACGTGGGTCCGCGCTTGTGCTTCCTTGAGCCCCAGAAGCTCGATGTTGCTTTTCTTTTCTGCTCCCTTGATCACCAAAACTTCTGTTTGTAGCTTGTCGAAAACGTTCCTGGAGTCTGTGATGAGGCCTCCAGGAATTCTTCTCACTGCCTCGTCGGGGTTCCTGACATCGATGTTGCCATACAGGATCTCACTCAGCTGGTAGCGTGCGTAGTACAGCTGGTCCTCTCCATTGATAGCAGCTTGAACCTCAGCCGCTCCCGGACTCCTGCATATTCGATCAATCTTCGTGCTGTGCCAGCTAATAGCTGTCACAGCTCCCATGTCTCCTTGGAACAAAGCTTCAGGCCCCAAACCCACGAAAATCCCTTGTGTGCTCCCTCCGTCATGGCGGCTTCCGTCTGAGGCATCCACCCAGGCATACAAGGCCAACGGAAGCTGAGGCTCAAAAGCATGAATCTTCATCTTATGCTCGCCCCTCGCCTTGGTATGATGCAACAGTAGGTTGGCACGAAGGACAGTGTTCACTGTCCCTTTGCTGGTTTCTGACAACAAGAGCCCCACTTCCGCAGATACATGCGGGGCCACCTGCTGCGCGTGCCAACTTAGTCCACCTAAGAGGGTGCGTAGCTGGGAGCGCTCTCGCTCCGTGATGGGTGCCTCTTTCTCTTTCCGTCGAGACGAGCTGACACAGATCTCATGCAGACCGTCCAAGTAGTGTGGCTGCGATAGCTCAAAACCATCCACAACCCTTGACACCTGAACACCACACTGCACAAAGGAGTCAGTCTCCCAGTCACTCCACTTAAACCGCTGCTGGATAGCAAGCAAGATTGCTTGCCACTCCTGGTCCTCGGCAGCTCCGCTGAAGTGGAAGTCGTCGACGTGTCCAGAGATCATACCTCTGAGCTGGCCTGCTTTTCGCCATACCCAAGCACACGAGTCTGACCACAGTCGCTCCAGTCCTAAACCTTCCAGGAATTCTGAGACTGTGCGATACCACTCTAGGGGGGCATCGACTAAGCCGTAGCACGCTCGCTTTAGTCGAGTGATGCTTCCAGCAGGAATCCCCATAGCTTCGCAGATCTCGGGGCTCGGAGTGCAATACATAGTCTCTCTGTATTCTCTCCCCTGTAAGAAAGCCCCGGACACGTCTCCTTTCTGGATTCTCCAGCGGCGGGATGCCGTAAGGTGCAGCTGAAACTGCCTCGTCTGGCGGGTCATCACGGGAGCCGTAGTGGCACGATGTTCATACGAGGGGTCCTGGTATCCGAGCAGTACTGCTCGGGCCTTCGCTTTTCGCTCCCCATTGTCCTTCAGTTTCCACGTACGGATCCAACGCATGCCTATGGCCTGATCCTTTGACGGCTGTAAGTGTTGGGGCAGACACTCAAAAGCGCGCGCAGCAATGAAGTTTCGTACTTCCACATTCTTTGCCTCTCTAAACTGCGCCTTTTCCTCGTTTGTCAACCTCTTCTCACACACTTCAACCGCTCGCCGTTTCATGGCCCCAACGAAAAACCCTGCCAGATTGCTTAGCATCTGTGCTTGGCCTCGCTTGCTGTCAGGAACATCAAACTCCAAGGCAACGGCAGCTGTCTCTTCAGTCCAGTAGCAAGCTTCCTGTGCTACCCAGGCTTCCTGGGGAACCTCGTTCCACCAAGGGTTGGCTTCCGAAAACCCATGAGCCCCAAGGAGCGCCGCGGACTGAGTAGAAGTCGGTGGTTTGGTCCGGCGTGAACTGGTAGCTGGTTCCTGGCCTCCCTCACTCATCTCTTCCAGCACTTCTGGGTCCACAGCAGGCCCCGGACGTTTCCGGGTCAGCCGGATTCTCCTTGGAGGAGTCTCCTGTTCGACATCCTGAGCTCGGTGCCATTCTTCCGGCTCCGGCTTATCACCCGAGATGTCCTGGTACTGGTTGCCCCCGATCTCCTCTGCCACCTTGGTAAAACTCCATGGCGCCTGTTTGTCCTAGCAAGAGATTCGAGGTGCTCTTCCCGAGGGGAGGCTCTTCGGAGTTGCTCGGGGCAGCATTTCATCAAGCTCCTGCCTCGCACTAACCACACGGCACTACCGGGTTTCAAGGTGCCATCTGCCTCCCTCGCCGTCTCAACGGCCAACACTCTAGCTGGTCCAAGGAAACGTCCTCGCTTAGATCCGGGACTCTTTCGGGATTGCCCGGATTCTTGAGTTCTCCAGAAGAACACCAACTCACCCGGCTCGAAATCCAGCCGTGGCCTGTGTCGTGAGTTAGCTGCACGAGTTAGCCGCTGCTTGGCTTGCCACTCAGCATGAGCTCTTTCCGCCTCCAGTCGGAGGCGAGATGCTCTCTCAAACTCTCCAGCGGCGTTCTCGATCAGATGCTCGGGAGGCAAGGCATGCACTGTATCCAGGAACCGGCCGGTCTCATCAGGACTTCTGCCTAAAGCATGCTGAACTGGGCTAAACCCTCTAACCATATCACGTTGATTGAAAGTCCTGATCGCAGTGGAGAGTGCTTCCTCAAGGCTGATGTCAGGCTCACATGCACACAGTTTAGCAACTACCTCCTTGATCCCTTTAATCCCATTTTCACAGGCCCCGATCTTCCAATGCGCCTCTCCTGGGATAATGTCTAAGAAGATGTTGTGCCTATCACAGTACTCCTCAACAAGATGGCTTCGGAATGCTCCAGCTGGATCTAAGCGGAGGGTCCTGGGGTGCCCGAAAATCTGGCACCATCCTTCTTGAAAATACTGCAGACAAGCTAAAGCATTTGGGGCTTGCTTAGGTCCCTTCGTGAGAACCCTAGCAGTTCTGAAGCGCGAGCCTTCATCAAGAATGAGTAGGAACTGCGCGTGCTCCTTCGTGACTGGGTGCTGCAAGTGTCCTACATCAGCTGATACTGTTGCCCATTTGGGCGGCAGTGGCTCCAACGACGCAACATGACGACTGGTCACCTTGCTTCTCTCAGCGCACACAGAGCAAGTGAATCGTTCGGCTTCCTCCAGCACTTCCTTAGACGCTCCCCGGCGCCTGAGGGCCTCAACTAAATGCTTCTTACTCCCATGTCCCGTCGCCGAGTGCAAAAGATACAGCTGCTTACGAATCTTCTCTCTCTTCTCTCTCTCCTCTCGGTCTCTGACTGAGGCGGGCCGGTCCTCAGCCACGGGATAGGCTTCGGACTGGACATCGGTAGTATACGCTTCTCGCTTCCATCTAGGCAACAGAAACCCTTGCCCGCGGAGGATGCTCCTTTGCGCCTCGGAAATATGATTCACTCCTCGACTTGTGTAGGCTGTGAGAGTGATTCTGTTTCCCGTCCAGTCTTGTGGCCCATGCCACGCTTTGCCGTTGAATCGTTGAAACTGGTGGTGAATGTTCAGGTTCTGACCCTCTATCCTACGACCATCCGGAAGATTCTGAACAACCTTTTCCCTCTCGCCAACATCCGGGTCCTCAACCCAAAGTTCCCCTTGAGTGTACGTCCCAAAACCACAAATCAAACTGAGCTCCTGGGGGTGATTGTGGACGTCGCGGTGTAGGGGAAGCTTCTGGTTGCGGTTGATAGTGAAAGACGACCAGTGATCATGCTCTTGGGCTTTGCTCCTGATAAAGGCATTCAGGTACTTAATGGTTTCGGGAAACCTGTTACAACCCACGGTAACACCGTACTGGCCTCCATGGCTGAAAGCTCCGAAGGTCAAGTACTCCGAACTTTTCCCTACAACCATCTCTCGCTTGCCCTTCATCGCCCCTTCCGGGAAAGCTTGAAGAAACTCCTCACAGGCCTGAAAGCCGTATGCGCCCTGAAGGCGCAGCTGTCTCGCCCACTCTTCCACTTGGTCTCTTTCCTTTTCACTGAACAACCCTGCCTCACTCCCAGACGACCTGGTATCCCCACCTGACCCTGAATATCCCTGTACCAAATCCTCCCCGGGCCCCCGATTAGGGTTAGGGTCTTTAGGGTCACTGGGGTGTTCTCCATGGTGGGGGACCACACTCCGTCCTAAGAGGCAGGAAGCACAGGTACGGTTGTTGCCGGGCCAAGCCAACTCACCACATACACACAACTCTCCTCGCCCAAACGCCTCAGGCAGTCCTGTCTGGCCTGCACACTCCTGGTACACGGCCTGGTAGCTCAGCTCCTGAGTCAGGAGCCGAACTACGCGATTTGTGTACTCAGGGGTGTATCCCAGGTTTTGGTTGTGCTCCCCCTGGGACCCACTTGCATGCTGGTACCTCCTATCACACTTACACGGCATGTCCATGTGCTGTGCCAAACGCGCATGTGTGGTTATCAGCTTCCAGCCCTGTTTCTGAAGTTTGTTGTTAGCATCACGACAATTCACACGACAGCCCCTCGTGACAGCACTATGAAGCCCGTGCCTTTTCTGGAACCTCTGAATGGCTGGGAGTCTCCAGGCTTGACTAGCTTCATTCCACTCCCACACGACATGTGCCCCCTGTTGAATGGCAGCTTCAGCCACGCACAACCCTCCTACGTAGATGCGTTGCGCGTGTTGCCGTTTTTCCTTCAAGGCGCTCTGCTGTTCTTCAGTTCTCTGGTTCATACCTTGTCGTGGCAAAAAGGCACTGCATGGTGTGCGGATCCATACAACCTGGGGTCGTTCTAACCTCAATCTCTCAAGCGCTAACCTAACCCCCGCAGTGACAGACAGGTCCACACCATTCCAGTCCACACACCTCACAGCCGCATCTGAGGTTCCTACTTCCTTGCAGACGGCTTCTGCAAGCAAGCTTTGAGGCTCACAACCGATCTCCATCAACACTGGCCGCCCTTGATTGACCAGTGCCTGGAAAGTTTTCGGAACTAGGCTCCAGGCAGCATCCTCTAACTGGGTCGCTTTGCTCACACTAAGCTGGCGGCAAGTTTCCTGGGGCCTAGCTCCGAAGCTGATGGAGTCCTTAGAAGTGTCCTCTACGGGATCCTCTCTCACAGGTCTTGCTCCCCTTGGGAACTCACCAAGGAGAACTCGCTGCGGCTCTCCTTCTTGCGAGGCCGCTCCTCCTTCAAGGTCGCCACCTCCTCGCGTAGCGCCGCCACTGAGTGCACCAAGTCCTGGAGCACCTCCGTCTTGATCGACACCTCGCTCGCTGCACTGGAGGCGGCTGCCTCCACCCGTGTCTTGTAGCCCGATTTCTTTGGACTCGCCTTGGCCTTGGGCGGAAGAGTCGCCGCTGTAGACGACCGTGGTTCCTCGGGCGGCGGTTCCTTGAGTCCGCCCGCGATCGTGCCCATGTCGACTTGGATGGGCTGTATCTTCTCCTGCTCCAGCCACATAGCCAAACGCCGAAGGTGGATCGAGCATTCCTTCTCCTCGCGACTCGTCTTCATCACCCAATCGCAGTACTGCGGGTAGCTGCTGCGAAGCTCGGCGTAGGTCATCTGGGCGTGCCTTCCGAAGCACACTTGGTCCTCCGGTGAGCACGCGGTGTTCTCGTAGATGTAGTCCAAGCCCTTCGCCTGCAGCTGCTTCACCGTCTGGAGTGGGTTCACCTCCATCATGAACTCTTCCTGGAGCAACTTGACGAGCTCCGCCTTCTTGCGCGATGCGGTGTTGAGCTGGACGATCTTGGAGCGAAGCGGGGTCTTCTGCTTCTTGAAAGCAGCATCCACATCCAAGCCGCGGGCCTGGTAGACTCCCTCCAACCGATGTCGGATTTGGGTCTTGGTCCAGTTGTCGGGCACGTGCTCGCCGATCTCGGCCAGCATCCTGAGCATCTCTTCCTTGGTGCTGCGATCCATGACACCGGCTTAACGATGAGGACGCTGACGACGGAGGGGCACACTTCGAGAGGTCACTCTGGCGAGAAAACTCGTGTGTGTCCGTGTTGGTCGACTCAGAAAGTACAAACTGATCACTCACGCTAACCCTGCTACATCCCTTGCGTTCCGGAAATTGCTCAGAAACATTCTCTAGCCCTAACATGCCTGATTCAAGTGGCTCCTTCCAATTCCTTTCAGGCGATGGAACCGGAAGGTCATGTCCCTATTCTGCCTTTGGCAGAAACTCGCGAAGGCTGGGAACTTCCTGCGTGGCTTCTTGGGCATTGGTATACAGATCATCCTTCAACGAGAGGGTCTGGTGCCCCGTGGCTGATCGGCCCACCTTGATAATCTTCTTCCCATTCAACCGACGGAAAACGACAAGATCATTCTCGAAGTCCAAAACCGCACCAAGCTTCCTCAAGGTGGCCACGGAAAGCAAAATTGGGCCCTCCCCTTTGTTGAGGGCGTGGATGGTGATTTCACCATCCTTCCCGTCAGCCTTTAATCCTACGCTCACAGTGCTGACACATCGATCTGAGCTGGAGTTCCCGAAGCCGAAGGTGGGTGTGTTGTCCACGTCCACATCGTGGATCCGAGCATCTCCATGCAGGGCTTGGTTCTGTTGCATCAGACACTCTATCGCATGCACTGAGGCCAACGTTCGGGTGGCGCCGCCATCGAGAATGGCATATCCTTCACGAACCGCCTCCGCTGTTGTCATCGCCTCAGTGCCCAAGAAAGCGCTGGCCGCTTCCTCAAGGCTTGCGAAGCCCACGGTGCCATGGTCGCCAAAGCACACAAAGGGAGCTTGCTCCTCATGGACCTCGTCCACCTTCAACGCCTTGTTGGGCCCATCCTTGCAGTTCGCTGCACGATGGCCCGCCTTGCCACACTTCAAACATGTCATGTTTGCATCCTTGTTGTAACTTGTGTCATTGCCTCTGGTAGAAGAGGAGCTGGACGAGGAGGCTGGGCCGCGTGGCCCGTTGCGAAAATACTGGCGTCCCATCTTCACCTGATGCTGTCGGAAACGGGCCTCTCTCAGGGTCCGCTTCCCCGCCGTGATGGCGGCCAAAGCTTCCTGCGCCTCCACTTCTGCTGCCTCCATCGCTGCTTGACCCTCTTCACTCAGGTCTGTTCGAGACATCCACGCCTCTCCACTCTCCTCCTCGTCGGGGCCCTCACTGTCACTCTTGTTTTCCCCGAGATACCCTGATTGGCGACCTTGGTCCCGGTGCTTCACCTCGTGGTCGCTCCACTGGTTCCGCAATTCCTGAGCCACACGATCAACATCATAACATCCACCCAAGGCGGTTTGCACCATGTTCCGCTCAGTCTGACTGAGGTTCGCGTCCTGGAGCAAGTACCATCCTTGAACGAAGGAGGGCAAAAGCTCGGCCTTGGGCTCTGTAGCCTCTGGCTTGTTGCGCCACCAGCTGCCGTAGTCATAGGGATAAGACCACCTGCCCCACGTTCCCCCGTAGTTGTAGGCGTCATAGTTCCCATAGCCCCACGACCATGATGTGCTTTGGCTCTGCCAATCATGCCAGGTGTCTCGGGTGCTGGCCGTCTCACCATGCTCATCGGCCTGCTCTTCTGGCTCGGCCGCGGCATCATTGGAGCTGTCGACGCTACTTCTCCGGCTGGGGTACCAACTCCAGTTGTCCTGACGGCTTCCGGGCTCCTCGGAGGAGGTAGTAGGCTTCTGCGTCCCGGGCTTCTTCTTCTGGCTGGCGATTACACGCTGCAAAGCTTGTTCTGCACGTAAGTAGGCCTCCGCCTTCCTTGTGATGTACTCGTTCATTGACTCTTGTGCTCTACGACGGCAATGCTTGAAGTACTTCGACAGATGCTCCGTCATCTCAGGAATCTGGGGTTTCCCCAAGCATTGACGGAGGAACTCTAGAAGCACTCGCACCCCCTCATAGTTGGACACCCAGGTTGGGCTCCGTCCCGACACCATTCTCTTCGCTGCCCCACTCAGCTCCGAGACTAGTCGAGGTCCACACAAGGCTCTTTTGTGCATCTCCGTTCCGGCTTCATATAAATAACAAGCTTCTTCATATGCAGTAAACGTGTTCGCACTGCCATCCCACTTGGGAACGCCTTCCTTGGTGCGTTCCACCTCATTAGCAGCCATGCTACTATCTTTCCCCAGCGGTCGAACGGCCGAGGTCTATCAAAAACAGTCCCTGGATCACCAAGCGTGCCTCGCCTGTTCAGACAAGGCTCCGCGCTACCATGAAAGTAACGTAACTGCTCAAGCGG